CAAGGGGAGTATTATAGATATTCTTGGATTGTGATTATATAAATCCTAGATAGATTGGGTTACAGAGTTATTTTTTCCTCTAGGATTGTATTTACTTGGAGAACAAGTTAATCCTCTCCTTATCTTCTACTATAAATAAAGGCATTGTGTGGAGGGAAAAACATACACACAAGAAATCCCTACACTTTCTCCACTCTTTCTTGTCGTTGCACCCCTCTCTCCCTTTCAGTTAAATATGCGACAACATTGTGCTTATTATGATCTTTCAGTTTTTAAATTATGAATTGAGTTGTATAATTAAGACTTTATTTTGTGCATTTTGATTTGGTATCTAAAAAGGATTTGCTTTGATTTGGGTTGTACATTGATTTAGGATTTGATTGCTTTGCTTCTTGGACTAATTGAATGGAGGTCTTCAGTTTGGACATTTGGGTTTTTGATTAGATATGACACTATGTTTCTTAAAGCCCAAACAAAAGAAAGAAAAAAGAGTTAAATGGGCTTAGGCCCAAAACTGCCTGGAAGCCAAACTGAACCGAACAAGAACTAGAACTAAACCAAAGCCGAACTAAAAAAACCAAACCGAATCAGAACCTTAAAACAAAACTGGTTTTGTCCCCGTTTGGATGGTGAACCAAATTGACCGAACCAAACTGTGCCCACCCTTATTAGTAGCTCTTTTAAGTTCTGACCCCCTACATGTGAAATATATAGCAGAGGGAGGCCATAGAAAGAGTATATGCAGATCAATTCTTATTTCTGGTTTTGCATATATTAAAGTAAAACAAGCTACCGTTGCAGCCTCTTATTATGAGATTTTGGAGCTCAGATATCTTAGAAGGGCTCATTTGCGCTAAAAACAAAGAAAGGAAAAGTTGATACACAAATCGTTCATCGTGTTTCGCTGCACTCGCTGGGAGAACTGATCCAGATACCGATTGCCTGCTTTCAACTGTAGGGGTTGGTCAAATCCCAAAACCCATGCATAAAACGATATGGCCATCTTTCTCTCGTACACATGCAGATCAAATGCTGTATCCTCCTCCAGCTCCATCTCTTTCAATCACTCTTTCTCTCTAAACCCTAACCCTACCACAGTTTAACAACCCCCAAAATCTCACTTAATTAGCAACAACTCCAAATAACGTACGAAAATAATTCCTAGAGAAACAAACTTAATAGTATTAGCTCGCCAACAAGGTCTCTGCTCCAAATATAGTTCTAACAGTTTTATTTGAATCCATCATTTGATTTTTAACACTAACATCATAAGTAAATTTGAGGTAGACTTTGCAACATTGCAACATAAAACATATATAAAAACTATAAAATAAACCCAATATCTACAGTAACTAAACCCTCGTACACTCCCTACGAAGTACAACCCTTGCATTTCTTACTAAAACTCTCACGCCATCTACCTCATTGTATTGGGACGCTTATTAATAGTGGGGGAAAAAAAAAACTCTTGGTTACGAATTTAGAAGTGTTGGAGCCTTCCAATTGTAGATGATGGGAAATTTCATAGGGTTTATATGAAGCTAATATATCCTTCACTAGGTGGATATTATAAGCTTGATAATACACACACCTTCCTAGAATTAGAACTTTGATAACAAATTATAGATAACTAAGCTCTAAACACACCTAGTGCAAAAAATAAAGTTTTCGATAACGCAAGCCCATATAGTGTTACAATTCGCTCACATAATCTAATTCGCTCACATAATCTTACCATGTGTATAATCATGAATGCTAAATTCTAAATTCATGTGTTATAATTTGAGAATTTAGCAACAACCCTTAACAGAAATCAAAGATAATAGGTAACATTTACACGAGTTTATGTAATATAACTTTTAGCCCTACTGTAGTGCCATGCACATTTTTATTGGGATTTGAAAGATACTCTCATGCATAACCCTCCTAAAAACAATTATTGTTTCATTTCATTAACAAGATTTAACTGGTGTCGGAGAGTCTTCAACTAGCACCACATAAGCGCCAATCCGATGACCTAATTCCATCCTTTTTTATTGCAGTTGAAAAGACTTCTTTCCGGGCAGAGAGCTATGCACTTTAAATTGTTGTTATCTAAAGTTTACGAGCTATTGACGAAAATAATTAATGCATCAGGTGTAATTAAAAAACCCTAATTACCATTAATCTATGGAAGAGTGGGCGCTGCATTGTTTGAAGGTTCTGAGCAATTGCCTGGGAGCACAATTTCTGGTGACGTCCTACAACATGTCTGTGTGTATAAAATATAGTGGTGCTTTGGATGGGAACACCGAGCATCTCAAGCTATTTTGTCATGTACGTACACGGGCGTACTGAAAATCCAAATTTAGTGCTTGTTTAAATTCATATTCCGAGAATAATCTGCTTTGCCTACAATATTGTCCCATAAGTAGGGATGAGTAACACATGGAGGAGATGGATATATCCCAACTACCAACACCCATTAATTCTATTTGTATCAGTCAATAATCTAGGGTTAAATTATTGGGTTCCATGTAGGTTCAAAAATCAGTTTTATTCGCAATTGTTTAACGTTTGAACTCCTTTGCGTTATGAATAAAACTTTCACTTGATAAACTAACTTTAGAAAGAAAAAAAAAAGGAAGTGTTATTGGCACTCCAAAAATCTCATTCTACACTCCTCTCAAGTATATTTCTCTTTCCAAATATAGAAAGTTTGGAGTGTAGAATGAGATTTTTGGAGTGCCAATAACAATTCCCAAAAAAAAAAAAAAATAGTCATCTGAAGTTTGATGGCTCACTATCTCTTTTTAGATATTTTTTTTTTTGAATACATCGATATTTTTACACTAAAGAAAGGGGAGTTCGGCTAAGTCACACACAATGAGCAATTTAATTTGGTATTGAATTTGTCATCCACGAGATTCGAATATAAGACCTCTCACTTCCAAGTGAAGAGGAATACCACGAGACCGTAATACTGAATGACTTATCGTGCAGAATTCTACGGTACCTTGCTACTTTTTACAAAAAAAAAGAAAAAGAAAAACAGAGTATTGGTATTCTTTATTTTAATAAAGTTACATTACTGTCGTTAATGTTTAATGTTTTAACATTTAACGTTTGGATTACAAAAAAATTAATGTTACACTAAAATCATCATAGTTTATAGTCCAAGGTCACATAAGAATAAGGACGCTATTATTCCTAACATAGAATGACATTGTTGTTACTGTAACAAGTTGGTTTACAATGTCAGCATCATATTATACTGTTAATTTAGGGTGTTATGGGTGAATATTAACACAATACAAAAATATTGTTCGATTTAAAGGTAACTTTTTTGGGAGAGAGATAACCAAAAACTAACCTATTTCATAGGGGTGGACACTTGGAACCGAAAACTGAAACCAAAATACGGACTGAACTGAATCGCACTAAACAGTTCGATTTTTACAGTTTTGAAACTGTTTCAGTTTGAAACCAAACCAAAAACTGCATAATATAAAATTATTTTTAGACGTTTTAAAGTTCATAACAACTAATGTAATTTATATTGTTTATGTTTTTGTATTTTGTGGAGTTGATCAATTCAAATTCGAGGATCGCTTCTCTAACAAAATCCACAATACCTACAACTAGCCCCAAGTCTATCTCAAGCTTCTCGTTCACAAGGTTCAATGGCTTCTCATTCATCGGTTTTACTTTCACAAAGTTCAAGGTCTTCTCAAGTATCGCATTCTCAAGCTTGAGTGCCTTCTCAAGCCCGTTCACAAGCTCAAAGGTTTCCTAAACCTTCGAAGACTAAGTGTCCAAAAGGAAAGTGAGCGGGAAAGGGTTGAATGGTTCAAAATTCAAAGTAGTGACATGAAACACCAAATATTTTTTGTTGAATTGCATGAAACCAAAACTAAAGTAGTGACTTGGTAAAAGTGAGGTACAAACAGAAACCAAAACCGTTTGAAACCAAACTAAATTAAAGCTAAATGGTTTGGTGCCATTTTGATTCTACCTCAAAACTGCACCGAATGGAACCGAATTAAATTTTGGTTTCGATTTCGATTTCGATTTCGGTTTTACCCTAAACCACACAAAACCGTTTGCACCCCTAATATTTCAATGGTTCTTAAGGCTTTAAGCTGGAGAGTGAGAGCGTGAGAGAAAGATAGAGAGAGAGAGAGAACCAAAGACTAACCCATATTTCCTTGGTTCTTAAGCTGTTTTTGCTAAAGTAAATTTCTTTTTGTGAGCTAAAGGCCAGCTGTAAAATGAATTTTTGTTTAAAAAAATGTAAGGGGGATAACTCTGGTTCTAATGTGAACGCGAAAGTACAAGGGACTATTGACTTAAAAAGTAAAAAAAAAAAAAAAAATTGACTAGAATGAAATAGATTATCAATCCATGCAGTGGTAGAATGTGAAGAGGAACATTTTACTAGCTTATTTGCAAGACCCTTGGGAATGTTTATTACTAGTTGTTCAAACAAAACCAATTAAAAGACGGTGTTTTACTTTATTTTTCAGATGCTAACGCACCTAGTTGTTTATGTGCGTGAATAATTGTTTTTTATCAGAGCATCTTAATCGATAAGAAAATGATATATGTGCATCGATGGACAAAGTAAAGAGAGATGTTCATAAGAAGAAAAATGTGTACGAAAATTACTTTTCATATTATTAATATTATATGTACAACATTAACATGTACATTTCTGTCTACCTCCTTGATAAACTGCCATTTACATATATTCACAAAATATTGCATCCTTTCCATTATTCTCAAGAGAACCAAATCCTTTTTTATCTTAAAGCTTTAAAAGTCCCAAACACAACAAGGTAGACACACTTAAAAGAGCTCTCAACTGCATTGGCCTGAAATGAAATCCCAAAATTTTGTTTTGTTACAATAATTTGACCACCATTTGGTTCTAAATTTTGCTGGCAGTTTAGCTAAATTGGAAAAAGATAATTTATAAGCGAGAAAAAGGGGATGAAAGGAAAATAAAAAACTTGAAGGAGCTAATTGATAACATCAGATTCTGAGGGTGACGTCCAAATGGAGGCTGAGAGTAAGCAACGAGACTTCCAACCTAAAACCAGCCTATGATTGGCCACCTCCTCCGCCCTATAACCATCATTAAATAAACCCAACAAAAGTTTCGCTTGACAATGATTGGCAAAGCTTATTGGCATTGGCTTAAACCCTACTGCGCCCAACCACTCCCACCAAGAGCTACCCACTTCCTCATGAGCGCGGTAGATACGACCCAATGACCCGGCAATTCGAGGGCCCAAAAACACTCTCTCCACTAGGGCTCGAGCTCGGTTTTGCATTGGGAAGCCGGCCTCGAGGGAGTCGTATACTGCCGAGTAATGATACAATGAATCCATGAAGCGGGCCACAAAGCCTCCGTCCCCTGCTGGCCGTACTTCTTCCTCGACTAAAGTGACTAGTCTCGGATTAAGGGTCTTGGATCCAGATAAAAACGAAGCAATTGAATCTTGAGAACGGTAATTAAAATGTGGGAGGTTTAGCATACAATTGATCACCAAGGCCTCTCCTTTAACTAATTTCAAAGCAGACGGTCGAAACGTCTCATCAGAATCCAATCTGCACTGGTGAAAAGAAAATGGCTGACCAATCGACGCTGCAAATGCGGTCAAACGACGGCCGGTCTCTTGAACAGTCCCGATCGACCGCCTCCCGCTGCCACCCCTCGACAAAGCAGTGATCCTAAGATGTGGGGTAGGTGGGCCCTCCTTCCGGGATACCAAGGCCTGCATCAAGGATGCCCATTGGATCCCTTCCATGATGTCATAATCCACAACGTGGACCCGCCTATCGTGGGCCACGGCCTCCAAAATCGCCTGATTGGCTGTGAAGTGCCCAAACTTAACATAAGGCGACATGTCCTGGAGCAGTTGAAACGCAGCGATCACGTCGTCAGTCGGATGGTGGCCGTGATCGTGGTGGGCCCCAATTCCAATCAAATGCTTACCATGCAAACCCCCGGCGCCTTCTAGCAAACCCTGGAGGGCCTCGGTAAAATACGCCGCCAACCTCTCCATGTTAGAACCGTCAGTCGGGGAGACCAACTCCTTGAGCCGAAACAATATCACCCGAGCCAAATCTCGGCTCTTGTTTGCGCCGGTCAGCGCCTCCGCCGCCGCCATCAAAAGATGGACAAGCCTCAAACCCTTCGAGTCCTCGCCGTTAGCGCTGCCATCTTCGTCCGTTAACGTCATCATTTCTGCCGACGACGTTGTGTCATTAGACGCTTCTAATTCTAGATGCTCGTTCTGGGCCGACGACAAGTTCAGCTCAGTGCTGCCGTCTTGGTCTTCCATCATCGACTCAATGAGCCCATGAAAGTCTTCGCCCGCGAGATGGTCCGTCGGCTCCAGAGCGTCCCAGTCCACCACCGGAGACCAGTCGTACCAGTGGTCGGTGGAAACGGTGTTGGTGCTTGTGGTGGTGGTGGTGCAGCCGGATAAATCGAGATCGAGGTCATGCCCATCAATGGCAATAGCCATAGCTGAGCTCAACAGCAACTGGGTCATGCAGTTAGGTTAACGGGTTAATAGGTTTTTGGTGGTAGATAATATAGAGGGATCAGAGGAGAAAAAGGATGTGGAACAAGAGAGTTTGGAGTATGTTAAGCTAATACTTAAGATATCAATATCGACTAATTGATGGGCTCATCATGATCATCCTGCCCAAGGTTGAGCTTGGTTTTATACACTGCGGGACTTAATCAGACATAATTAGTTATATATATTTAATTCACTTTACACTGCAGCCCCTAAGTTTTAACATATTTTCAAACGAGTGATGTTAGGAGATTAAATTTGTTGGGGTAATACTAGAAAAACTAAATTTATAGATTAAAATTATAAACCATATAGTGTCACCCAATAAGATTTAAGCACGGTAATCAATATTTAAGTAATAATCAAGAAATTGTTATTAGCATTCCAAAAATCTTATTTTACACTCCAAACTTTCTATATTTAAAAAGAAAAATACACTTGTGAGGAGTGTAGAATGTGATTTTTGGAGTGCCAATAACACTTCCCATAATCAAATCATCGACTTCCATGTTATTTAGTTTACAAATTTAGTCTTCCTACCATTACGCTTGGATTTTTACTTAGGCAATAAACGTGCTCAATTTTTTTATTAGTGAAATATAATTTAGTTTTCAAATTTTGTCTTCCTAGCATTACTCTTTTCAAACCTAAGCCAACTAGTTTACAAAATAAATAAATAAATAAATAAAGAAAAAAATAAAAATTCAAACCACCTAATTAATTAGTTTAATTAATTAATTAAAATAATTTGCATTGGGGGTATCTTTTATGTTTATGGGTTATTTTATTTTCATTTGTTTATGCGTTTAACTTCAAATCTCAAAGCACCATTTTTTATTTAAAATATCAGTGACGATACTAATTAATAATTCAGTTTAAGCAACTAATTAGAGATAGTATGTTTTAAGTTCAAATTGCAGTTTCAAATGGACACAGTAACCGTTCGAGTTAATTGGCATCGATCTTCTTTTGCTTAACATGTTAGTGAAAGTGAATGAGCAAGTAGAATTATAAGTTTGGTGCGCAAATTTGTTGCGTGTTCCGGTGAGATCAATTTGGTGTACTAAAGATAAAATTTCATTTAATGAGTAAAATACTTCGTTTCTTTTATTTTTCGCATATTTAAGTCTTCAAAATTGATCATAATTTGAAAATTCAAGCAAAAAATTTCAAACTAATGCTTTCTTTAAGTTGAGAAGATTGCATATTGAAAGCTATACCTAGTGATCACTTTTCTTTTTGCAATGTTGACTGATCCTCTTTCTATTTGTTTTTTTTTTTTTTTTTTACATCATTTGACACATATATAGGTAACATAACATAATACGTCAAGGAATTTTAATGTAGTTTTTGAGTAAAGATAAAATATCAAATATAAGAAATTGTCCAAGTACATAGGTAGGAGTATGCAGACTTATTACTTCACATGAACTTCAAATGGTTTTATATTTTACACGCAATTGAATTATTGGAGATCAAGTTCCATTCGATCGATCCGTCAATTGTTTCACAGATTGTATATGGCAATACGTGACGAGTTCTAGGGCCTCCAGCTGGCTTCAATTCGTGTGGCAGTCAAGGTTTAGAGTTATAGGTTACTTTGGGGTTTGGGTTATTGTGGGTTTTATGAGCTTAGTTTTTGAGTTTAGCTTAGTGGTGATGCTTGTAGATTTTGTATTTCGGGTTTATTACTTTCGTTGTTAATGTCTTTCATATCTGCAAACATCTAGATGTATGATTAAAGTATAGCCCGCTTTCTCCATCCTAAGTGTAGATAATATCGTCTATATTTAAAAGTTTAACTAATGACATATTGCTTTTATAAAAAGTAAAATAAAATAATTGAAAGTATTAAAGGTAATCTTCTAATGATGTTTAAGGTCGAAATGTTAAAAAAAAAAAAATTTATTTTCTACCTCATTTAAATACCACTATTTTTTGCTATGTTTCGGCGAGGGACTTTCAAATTCTAAGGACACAATGTTAGTTAGAGAGGACTAGAAATGCACTTCATGGAAATAACAAAAAACATGTGAGAGGGTAAATAACTACATAAAATGAGTCATTTATAAATTCCTCATAAGTGCCTTTGTAATGATCATGTAGTACATTTCTAATATCATTTTATAGTTTATTACTTCATCACTTCGATAAAATTCCTAATCCAAGAACATCCTTAATAGTTTGACTACTCTCAATGAATTTCTTATTTTCTATTGCCCTCATCGTCCATCTCTCATATTCTGCATTAGCTATTCTGCCAAATAAAAGAAACGTTTATCAGTTTAATTTTTGCTGAAATAAAAATGTTAAGTTTTATGACACATAACAAGCATACCAACAACGTGTACAAGAGTCTAGAACAGTTTCCATTTTTGGTCAATAAAGTGTGGCTAACTAATATATATAAGAAAACAAGACTATTGTTCCTCAAACTTCGAGAAAAGTGCCACACATAAATAAAACATATATATATATATATATATATATTTTGATCCTTTTCTGCGGGATTGGATGCATTTAAGACTTAAACATGTGACTTTACAAATTACAAAAAATAAAAAATAAAAAAAAAGGACTCAAACATGTGTTTACATAAACATATACGTGCGATACTCCACGTTTTTTCCATGAGAAAACCTCACGACCAATTTTTTCATTTATTCATTATTTTCATGGAATAGCGAAGTGCAAAGGGTGGTAGGGTAAATCTCATATATATATATATATATATATATATATCTGTGCGTGTGAATAGTAAATTAGAAAGGAAAAAACCCGCAAATAATTCTAATGTTTTTATAGAAAACATGTCATCGGCTCAATTGATAAGAAATATCACTTTTATACATCTGCTTGTTATTTTTTAATTAATTTTTAATTGTGAAATTCTATGATGGTACAAAGTATTGAAATTTGAGTTTGAGTCATATTATTGCTATCTCATTATGAGGCTAAGATTCTCTCCTCTTAATGTAGATAATCTTGTAATTATGAAGAAAGAGAAAGAACAAGTTATTGTAAAGAAATTGTTTGAAGTGTTTTTCTTTAACGTGTGATGTTATTAAGAATTTGCATCAATTACCTATTAGTTTAGTTGTTTCTCTTTTCAATATTGAAATTGAAAGAGATTTTGTAAATTCAAACCGATTGATAAAAGCAATAAATATTTGCATACCACATTTATTAAGTAAGTAAACTCGCTTGCTTATGCACTGTGAGAATACAATAATTATTAAGCATCCATGGAGAGTTGGAGGAATGTTTTTTGTACAACAATATATTTACAATAAGAAGTGAAAAGATAAATTGGTATTGAATTCGTCATCCATAATATTCAAACTTAAGACCTCTCATTTACAAGTAAAGAGAAATATCACTAAACCATATAACCAAGTGATGGGAAAGTGTTAAAATTAAGAAAAGCATAGTGGAAACAAGTGGAAATATGAGAAAAAACAAGTCCTCCACAGCAAATTAAGCAAGCAATCCCTGAAGTGTAACGCAGGAGAGAGACTACTTGTATTCGCGTAGAAATCATCAACTGAAAGCTCCGTTGCGAAAAGGGCTTTTGGACAAAAGCTCCATAAAACACAACCTTTGTTTGTGTCACTTACGATTCAGCTGTTGCAAAGGGTTCAAAAGCTTCCTCTGATTGTTTGACTGCCATGCAAAATCCCCACATCAGCATCCTTGTCACGTCACTCTTGCCGGCTCGACCGGCTCAAGCGCAACTTACTTCAAACTATTTTTATGCGAAAGCGATGGGTTTGAATCGTAACAGTCCAAAACGAGAGAGAGAGAGAGGGAGAGGTGTTTTGTTTATTAGTTTGAATTGCTCAAATCTTGATTGTCTGACCCACTAAGTTCGCTTTCTTTCACTTTCAATTACTAACTTTACACGGAGAATGTCTTTGTGAATGGGTTAGAGATAACACCACCAAGGGTTTCACCACCCCATGCGGATCTTCTAGCTGTAGGTTAGAGAAACATATGGTTGGTTAATGATTGGAACCATGTAGGGTATCACTTTGTTTTTTTATTACGCAAGAGTAGTCCTGGCACCAATTATATATTATCTTTAACTTTATAATCTGGTCACTTAATACTATGATTTAGTTATATAGTTGTAGATGATAGGTTTTTAAGTTTGAATCTCCTAAGTGACAAGTTTGATACTAATTTATTCCTCCATCTTTAGTATAAATATAGGGTGGTGCTATCCACACACATCTTTATATCTTCCATACACTCGTAATTTTTGGCTGTCGAATCAATTAAATTGAAGAAGATCAAATGACAGTTTTTAACAGGACATATGTCGAAGTTAAAATAAGGTGTATGAATAGCATCACCATTAATATAACGTTGTATAAATTTTTTTTATAATACTAACTGGTGCGATACATAACATCATATTACTTAGTGATTGCAATTTCCAAATAAGCGGGTTAGTATTAGATGTTAGTATGTGAATTTGAGCCATTGGTTATGTAAATTCTTGTTTAAATGTTAGAGTTTCACAGCATAATAGGTCAGCCAATATATACGCCAAACTAATAGTGTTTCGATTCATGCAATAGCCCACAAATTTGGTCAAATTTTAAATGGACTATTTTTTATTTTTTATTTTTTTATTTTTTATTTTATCATTTGCGTCACAACATTATGAAGATATTTTATTCCATACAATAAAAAATAAGTTAGAGTTGCCCTAGAAAATTTTACACCAAAGGTACTGTGGGGTAGTAAATTTTTGCACTCTACAATATTGACAAAATTGTACTTACAAAACAAATAAACACTTTTGATCAACAACTAAAGCCACACACACCCACGAGTGGTGGGTTTTGGCCAATGAATATTTGATGCCTAAGTTAGTTTCTATGAAAAGTGAGAGAAAGGGTATTTCTAGAGCTAGGGTCGGTCACATGTGTAGGGTTTTGCCCTGACATGTGTTGGCATCTAACAAGGTGTGTCAATCGTAGGATGGACAAGAAAAGAATTATTCTAAGACAATATTTAATAAATAATATCTCAGAA